AGATTTATGAAAGCAATACACATGTCATGGAGGTATGAGATCATCGAACTCTATTTTCAATATGCTGACTAGTATGCTGTAACTTCTCTCTCAACTTGAATTAGTAAACATGTATAGAGTTTCCAATAAAACATAAAGGTACTCGAACCGATTTAATCCAGCAAACACTCCATGGAAAACATAATTAAATTTTGTTGTTTTTTTTGTCGTGTCTCCTCTCTAGACGCCTAAGTTACGTGTGTAGTAGCTTGACAACCAAGGTTGAAAACAAAGATACAAGTAAAGAGCATTAGTATACAAGTCTGATAAGGAAGTAATTTCCCTTTCATACACTTCCTCGATATAGACCTTACCTCACAGTACAAAATTAGACTTACCATTGGAAATCGCAGCGTCCCTTACACAAGATGAAAAAATGTGTCCAAACACGAAGAAGAACGTAGAACAATAAATGATAGATATGCTTTTTCGTTGTGTGGGAAAAGGCTAGCAGTCAACTTCTGCTGCACTCACTTCTGCCTCAGCGATAAGTTATTTTTTTACCGTGACAGTACGTAGAGTCACCTTTCGTTCCGATTGTTTGGAGCCAAAGTATCAGTGTCAGTAATGTTGCGCAACCAAGACCCTTGTACACAATGGACATGCACCGGTGTCAAAGAAGTCCACACAACTCTTTGGTTAGCCGCGCCATGTTTTGTTTTGCAATTACAATAGTTTTTTTAATAGCAAATTTTCACTGCGTCTCAGCTTCAAACTTGACTGATGTTTCTTTAATAGTGGGGTTGCGCGCGCAGTGACCTTAGTCTGGTTAACAAACAAGGCTTACAGTAAATTAGAGTGGTCCGTAATTGGTCGAAATAAGTCTAAAGACATGATTAAGGGTAAAGAGAGATAAAGTCAGTCCCATTGCCTTTTTCAGACCGTAGGGTATGTGGGTTGTTAATCTACTGTGTCTAGAGCGCAGCATTGGAAGGCGGAGCAAAATAATCCTTAAGTTTTAGTCTGTTAAACATTACACTGTGGCCTGTTTCTAAGCGCGTCCTCTATCCACTTTACTCGGCACTGCAGCAAAATTCAATGTACGATTTATCAAGTACAGTTACTATCTATTATTTTTTCGTTGTTCCTTTGTTAGTGTGTTAGTTTGTGTCTAGGGAGCAATTTGTGATAGCAAAATTCACTCTTTGACATTTACTGACCTTTCTTGTGACCTAAAATGGACGCTATAGAAGTTAATAACCGCAAGGTCTAGAGGTGAATGACCGCTAGGTCAGACGTGCGCAACTCAGCAAACAGGTACAGGTCAAATTAAGGGTAATTGTCAGTGTACCGGGAGCAATTTGAGTTCGTTAACACTATGGTTAAGCCGATAGAAGCGGCCTTGTACGCCGCACTGGGCGGCATATCTACCGCGGTGGCGACTCTCAATGTCGTCTACCCGCAGATCCGCCAGGACCTGAAGTTCCTACGAAAAGTTCGCGGTCCCCTGTCACGATATCGGCGGTACATCTCAGCCCAACCCCCGGTCACCATAGTGGACCGCTTCCTGCACCAGGTCCAACTCCAGCCCGACAAGGATTTCATCCTGTTCGAGGATGAAGTCTACAGCTACAAGGACGTGGACGTCATGTCCAACAAGGTGGACTCTCGCTTCATCAATTCGACTGTTTGTTCTTTTCTTTCACATGTATTCTTGGTTAGTGTTTTGCATTGTTTAGTAATATTAGTTTTATTCGTATAAGTGGCGGCGCTAACATAAGTTACCTAACTTGAGCCCGTCGTCACTTTGACCTGTACCCTTATTTTGTTTATTGTATGCTGAATAAAAAGGTGGCAAACTTCTTCCGCGAGGAGGGTCTCAAGTGTGGTGACACCGTCGCCATGTTGGTGTACAACGAGCCGGCCTTCGTCTGGACTTTCCTGGGACTGGCAAAGCTCGGGGTCAAAATGGCGCTTCTGAACACGAACCTGAGGAGCAGGTCCCTCCTGCATTGCTTCACAGTGTCGGAAGCGAAGGCGCTTATTGTAGGACAAGGTGAGTTTAAATACTAGTGCGAGGTTATTTCCTTTAACACTTGTCCTGCTGGCATTCACGATATTTTTCAATAATGTCATGTCTTAATTAGATCATAGACTTCCAAATCATTTTGCCCTGCGGTGGCGTAGTTACTTCCGAATTCGTTGCGTTTCGCTGCGGTGTGATGCGTTGCACGATTACTAGATAACTCAAGAACGCATATGAGGCTTGTCTTGATAGTTGTATGTGGATACATCTAGCAAGGAGGTATACCTTATTGTATCTAGGTGCTAACAAAACAAATGGCAGCTTTATGATAACCCCTAGCGGTTTGTAATGGTACTGCGGTGGAAAATATGCTGTAATGTTTGAATGTATAGAATCCACCCCTGCCCAGAGTATACCTGGGAAGAATCATTTTATTCATTGACAATAAAAAATTGACACTGAAAATGTTTCAGAGGATTTGAAATTCAGATCGAAAAGTATATGTCCTTGCAATTGCCAGCGGTCGAACCAATATAAAACGGCGGGTGAGTTTTGCTGGGGTTAGTCGGAAACTACTAGAAACACAACATTTTCCCCCAGGCTTTACCACATGTGGCACCGCCCCTCTGTAAAAGTAAACATGTTATTTGCTCTGTGACCTCCTGGCCTGATAACCGCCTGTACAGGTCAACCACCTGTAGGTCATTCACCTTTGATCACCCAGGTTTCAAGGCTTGGGGGAGCCCAATGATTTGAATCTTATCGGTACATTCCGATACTTTCCGAAACGTTCCCTTGTAGCTCATGCTTTGTTACTTTAGAGGCGGAAGTATTGTTTCGAGTGGCGTTAGTTTGTGTGTTTGGGTTCCAGAGTTGAAAGGATAGTGTAATAGTCCCTTTTTCGAAAACAAATATTTCGATACAGCAATAGCCAATCCCCTATTTTACACATTTGCTTAACAAATATGGGCACTAAAGTTTCCCATCCCCAGACCTTTTGGCTCTGTTAGTAACTCTATATTATTAAAATTGTATTATCTATATCATATAGAGTCAACCCTGGCTTTAGACTTGTCTTTTAAAAACTCACTTGTATGTAATTGTGATTATAATTGTGTGTTGTGAAATTTAATGCATGTATACGATTCAGCGCCCTGTCATGTGCTTGAAATTCTTACGATGAATCAATAAACAAATGTTATTATTATTATATTATTGGTAATCTGGTATTATGAAAGTTTGAGACGTACGTGTGTATGGACGTGGGTGTGCGGAGATTCGCTTTCAGTTGATTGACAATGGTGTAGGTGCTGTGTGGTTATTTCCTGTGTAGAAGGTTGTTGTCACCGGGAACGTGTCTTATTTTATCCTGGTATATATGAAATAAATGTTTAGAATGTCCGATTTCCTATTGACTATGTTATCGATACATGTAAATCTATATAGAACAAGACTGGCAATGAAAACACACATTGCCATGGCGACGGTGGTTGCTGTTAGGGTTATTGTTTACATGGCACTGCCATCATTTCATGATTTTGAGGAAGCCTTGGTACCCTCCCCTCCCCTGAGTGTGTAGCTAGTGAATGAGCCCCGGGGTCACAGAAAGTACATGTAGGCATCCGGGGCAGACAGGTTTTTCCAAGGGTTTCCAGGAATGTGGGCATGTCAACAAACGGAGCTGGGAGACATTCCTGTGGACATTCCATGACTGTGGACAAAATTCCTGTACAATTCCTAGAATTCTTGCGAACTGCACACAATACTGTACCATTAGGCTCCTCCCTGAGACGTCGCCAAAAAGAACAGCGTTGCATTCCATGTATCTATGTCTGACTCAGAAAATTCTTATCATTTTTATCCCTCCTAGGCGATGTTTTGCTTGAAGCCACCATGGAAATCTTACCAGCTTTGGCAGAGCATGGTATAACCGTCTGGCTACAGGGGGACCAGCCTGCTCCCCAAGGCATCATCTCATTGGATGACAAGATCAACCAGGCGTCCGATCAGCCAATCCCTGTCAAGATGAGAGAGAGCATTACTGCTAAAGATGCTCTGTGTTACATCTACACATCCGGGACAACAGGTTAGGCCACACCGACTTAATTTTATGGATGAAATCCTCTGAAGACCTCCAAACTAGTGCGCGCGGGCAAATAGAAAAAAAAAACAGCCAAAAATAAAAATTCTATTAAACCACAGGAATATAAAGCTGGTGTTGTGAATTTGCGGCAGTACTTAGCGACGTATACGACAAGCCGACACATGCTGGCTTTTTGCGGAATTTCTAAATCGGCACTGTACGTATGTACTGAGTTCAGTAGTCGTGGAGCTTTGGCAGCCTGGGTGCCATCCTCCAGAGTTACCACAGGCTCCGTATTGTCACTAACTACCATGAACTATACCCAGGGCTAGAGCCAGGCCAGAGCCTCGGAGGACGTATTTTTTTTAGAACAGGCGAAAATTAATGCGCGCGGATGTCATCCATAAAATTAAAACGGTGCGGCTTAATTGTTTGAGTTATTGATGCGATTCATCGCTGGAAACTATATTCACTTCCGGAAGTTTAAAATCCGGAAGTTTATAGTTTTATAGTATTAATTTATAATGGCTTAACTCTTGTTTACTAGTTACCTGGACGTTACCCAAGTGACATTGGCTTGTGTTGTGTTGTGTTGTAATTTTTATTTTATGGCTAGTGGTGACGTCAATAAAAATAAGCATATTGCTCATATTCACTATGAATTGTATTCTTTGCACGTTGAAATTTAAAAAAAAATAGTTTAAAATCTATGATTTCTTGTTTCATCTTTGACCAGGTCTCCCGAAAGCTGCCAAAATAACAACAGAAAAGGTTCTCGGAGCAGGCTGTTTTTTCGGAATCTCCGACCTGAAGAATGACGATGTTGTGTACATTACGCTACCGCTGTACCATTCAAATGGACTATTCTTTGGTCTGGCAGGAACCATTGAGCATGGTGAGTAGAACCACCGATCATAACTGTCCATCACAATTAGCAGTTCAACCAATGATGACATGGCAATTAGTGGTTTGGCCAATGAGAGGGTGACTACATAATTGTATATTTCTTAGTTTTGACTCAGATTGGCTAAACGATTGGTCAATCAATTTGAACGACATCTTTGTGTATTCTGATTTGTCGTCCCAGATTTTTTACTTTTAGATTACTTCAAACAAGCCTCATACTAGTTATAGAGTCGTGTGTGTATTAGTCTTTGACTTTCTCTGTGGTTGAATTTGACTTAGACTGTAAGGCCATGTTGATTTGATTATATGGATGATATCCTCCGGGAACACCGAAACTGATGCGAGCGTGCGAATAAAAAAGTTTGGCAAAAGAATTATCCTCACTATAAAATCTACGTGGTCTAGAATGTCGTGGACTAGAATGGCACGTAGATTTCATAACGAAAGTAACTTTTTTTCAAAACCTTTTTTTTTATTCGCACGCTCGCATCAGTTTTGGGGTTTCCAGAGGATGTCATCCATATAATCAAATCAACATGGCCTTTCCAATTTTTACCTGGGCTCTAACATACAAAGAAGGGATAAAATAGGTACATAGTTCGTCACTTTACCGGGACTGTTCCGTGTGTGTTGTAGGAACCACCATGGCGCTGGCCAGGAAGTTTTCAGCGACGCGGTTTTGGGACGACTGTCGCAAGTACAACGCTACTATAGTCCTCTACATCGGGGAGCTGCTGCGGTACCTGTGTGCTCAACCAAAGGTACTGTCATTTCTTCTTACCTTCGCCAAGAAGGTTATGTTTTCGTAGACGCTCGTGTGTCTCTGTGTGTGTGTGTGTGTGTGTGTGTGTGTGTGTGTGCGTTTCTCTCTCTCTCTCTCTCTCTGTGTGTGTGTGTGTGTGTGTGTGTGTGTGTGTGTGTGTGTGAGTTTCTCTCTCTCTCTCTCTCTCTGTGTGTGTGTGTGTGTGTGTGTAAACACGATAACTTGAGAAGTCTTGAATAGATTGACTTGATATTTGGTATGTAGGTTTGGTATGTATTTGGAATGACTGTTTGGCGAGAGCTGGCAATGATTAGATTATGGGACCCTAATGACTTCCTATGGTACTGCAGCTAAACGTCCGGTTTTGATATCTCATTACCTAGGCATGCTAGACATGATAGGTATCTGAGAAAACTAAATCGGCCATGTGGGGCCGTGTGGCGTAGCGGCCGAGTGCGCGACTCAGAACTAAGAGTCCCGGGTTCGAGTCCTGACATGCCACCGATCTTGTGCCTTTGGGAAAGACATTTTACACGTCTTTCCTCACTTTGCTCAGATGTAAATGAGCTCGAGTATTGTCCTGTCATGTATTTGTCCCCTGTGTTGATGGCGGCATTAATATAAGTTGAAGAAACTTGAGTGTGTCGTCACCACGTCCGGTGATTACATGTTGGAATAAATAAAATAAAAAAAAATTAAAATATAAAAAAACGGCCATGGTTGATATATATAGTGTTTTTTTTCAGACCCCATTCGACAGAAACCACGGCGTCCGACTAGCGTTTGGGAACGGTCTCCGTCCCGACATCTGGGAGAAGTTTCAGGAGAGGTTCGGAGTCGGGCAGATTGTAGAATTCTACGGCGCAACGGAAGGAAACGTGTCATTCTTCAACATCTTCAACAAAACGGGAGCTGTCGGCATGGCGACTCCATTGTTTAAGGTCAGAAGATAGACATAAACTTTACAGCGCAACATTTTATTTGTTACAGAATAACAGAGCCTTGAACTTGAAAAGTGTTTTTATTGTCATTGTCAATTAATTATTAATTAATTATTAACAAATAATAATAATAATAATAATAATAATAATAATAATAATAATAATAATAATAATAATAATAATAATAATAATAATAATAATAATAATAATAATAATAAATTATTATATTAATTAATAAGAAAATGGCACAGTTACATACGTCGTACATTTGTGTTTTTTGTCTTCGCTTTTCGGCGAAGCTTTATGGTGCAAACTGTCAGCATGTCTAAGTACGTTTTGTGGTAGATGAATCTTTTACGATGCATCTACGACTATCACAAAAGTGTTCTTGGATTGTTGTACGCCTGCCGTGCGACATATAACAGAAGCTGTTGGCGTACTTCAAGTTCACTCGGTTTAATATGTTTCTATTCCCTCCTGAACAGAGGATACGGCCAGCCTCTTTTCTGAAAGTAGACCCGGAAACAAGCGAACTCGTCCGAGACCAGAACGGCAGATGTATTCCCGTAAAGCTTGGTAAGATCATCATTATGACTTAATAGTACAAGTTAGTTCAGTTCAGTTCATCCATAAGTTAGACCCCTTTATAATTACCAGAATCTGGCGTGAGTGCGTATGATTTTGTTTTACGACAATCTAAACGAACGTCCGATAGTCAACCGGTACACTATACAAAGAGTTTCAATTGGAATATAGTCCGCAGAAACATTAACTCGTTCCAATCTTGAATGTTCTACTAGATGATTCTTGTGAACATAGACTTAGACTATCAGTCTCAAGCACGTTGTGTAGACTATCAGTCTCAAGCACATTGTGTAGACTATCAGTCTCAAGCACGTTGTGTAGACTATCAGTCTCAAGCACGTTGTGTAGACTATCAGTCTCAAGCACGTTGTGTAGACTATCAGTCTCAAGCACGTTGTGTAGACTATCAGTCAGGCACGTTGTGTAGACTATCAGTCTCAAGCACGTTGTGTAGACTATCAGTCTCAAGCACGTTGTGTAGACTATCAGTCTCAAGCACGTTGTGAATGTTGCGAAAATCCTAATTTTATGTTTACCGAAGAAAAGCGTATTGTTTTTGCTCAATTTCTTCTTCTCCGAACAAAAAAGATCAATGACCTGAACCAGACTCTGTTACCATGGTAACTAGTGTTGGGTTACATTATGTTGCAATTTTATAGCAGGAGGGGTTTAGACTCCTGTCTGACCATACATGTGAATGTATGTTTTTTTTATTTGCTTTGGTAGATCAGAGTTTAGAAGAGTGTATTGGATGTTTTCTTTCGTTTGGTTCTTGATTATTCGAGGAACACAAATTTCTCCTTCTTTGTTTACAGGAGAGCCTGGCCTTCTCGTGTCTGCCATATCGGACACTTTCCCTTTCGAAGGCTACAAAGGGGAAAGAAAGATAACGGAGAGGAAGATTCTTCGTAACGTCTTCAAGGAAGGAGACATGTTCTTCAACACAGGAGACCTGATGATGGTGGACAAGGACTACTACGTGTACTTCATAGACAGGCTGGGGGATACGTACAGGTTATCTTTGTCTTCGTTCGTGTGCACGTGTGTGTGTGTGTGTGTGTGTGTGTGTGTGTGTGTGTGTGTGTGTGTGTGTGTGTGTGTGTGTGTGTGTGCGTGTGTCCGTGTGCGTGTGTGTGCGTGCGTGTGTGTTCGTGCGTGTGTGTGTGTGCGTGTATGTGCGCGTGTGTGTGTGCACGCGCGCGCGTGTGTGTGTGTGCTTGCGTGTGTGTGTGTGTGTGCGTGTGTGCGTGTGCCTGCGTATGTGCGTATCCGTAACAATAACTCGAGAAGACTTAAAAGGATTGTCTTGACATTTGGTTCATAAACAAGTCTTGAGGAGATTATGTCGAAATTACTAATTTGCTCCCCCCAGCGCCTCGTTATATTACTGCAGTGAAATTTTCGGTTTTGATATCCCAGAAAAACAGCCCGTACTGAACTACCCAGCCAGGGCCCTTCTCGCAATTGTGCCCTAAACATGATGCAAGAAAGATCAATCATATGACAAACATCTTACGCGTTTTTTTTAAATTCCATATTGCAGGTGGAAAGGAGAGAACGTGGCAACTACAGAAGTGGCGGAGGTCTTACACGACATAGAGGAAATACAGGAAGCCAACGTGTACGGAGTCACCGTGCCAGGTAAGCTGTCCGCAAGATTTGCATAGTCATATGTGGGTAAACTTTTGCAAATCAGTGCTTTATCTTTACTGCAACATTGAGCGACCTTAAAGATCAAGTAAGGATACGCTTATGTTTTTAAGTATACTTTACGTTGTTGTTCCTAAAGAGAGTGTAAAGATTGTCTGCCGATTGTTGCATTTACGATGGCTTAAGTGGAACTTAAATACTTCTTAATGATGTTGAAATATTTTAGCCTGATTTACGAACACTATTAAGCATGCTTAGATTTTTCGTGCAGTACACTGCACGCAGTACAAAAACTACACGAAAATTAAGTAGTCAAGAAAAGGTGGAGGTCTCGTAGTACGGCTGGGAAGAGTTCGTTACGTTGTGGTATCGTACACATTTGTCTTAAATTTTATGTTCTCTTTGTTTTACACTATTCTATCCATACTGTATGGCATTAATGTCAGACATGAACGTCTGCCTTTTTCAAGGTCATGACGGTCGAGCTGGAATGGCGGCCATCGTGCTACATCCGGGACACCGAGCGAACCCACGGGACTGGTACTCCCATGTTGCCTTGCGCCTGCCCGTCTACGCCCGGCCGCTGTTCCTCCGACTGACCCGCGACCTGGACCACACCGGCACCTTCAAACAGACCAAGCCTGAGCTGGTGAGGGAGGGGTTCGATCCGAGCGTCGTCACGGACAGTTTGTACTTCCGTGATGACTCTAAGGAAACCTACGTCCCGCTGGATTTGGAAGTCTACAAGTCCATCGTTGTCGGCAAGGCCAAACTTTGAACCAACTCTGATCCGATCGGACGCACTGCATTGTAGCAATCTCCAAGCAGATTTTTGGGTGACTGCAATACAGTATCAAATTGGCCAAGCAGTATCCAATGTGCCAAGCAGTATCCAATGTGCCAAGCAGTATCTAATACGCCAATACGATAAGCAATATCTTATACGCCAAGCAATATTCAATACACCAACCAAGTAGGGCGGCCAATGGTTACAAGTGGCCAAAATAGACCCTCGCCCCAGAGAATCGGCATGGAGATCAGTGCAGTAGTAAAAACGAGGAGGTTTTAAAAACTCCTTGATTAAACCATGATATCACAATAGACTTCAAATTATGACAAGAACACCATAATCCCCTCTATGTATACGATTTGTATACAATAAAGTCAGAAATCAGAGCCAGTCAGTAGAAGAAGGCCGTAGAACTGAAACTCACTGATTTCTGGAGTAAAGAATGTTAATGTTACTTACAATATTTTAAGATTAATCAGATTGTTCTCTAAACAATGAATTTTTACAACTGTGACCCGTACACAACTTTGTCCTATTAATAGGCTGCGCTTAAGAATATACAAAACTTGCACGCTGTAAATACTTTAATTATAACACTTTGTCAAAAAAACAATGCCAATATACTTGTACTCATGCATACCCCCAAAAAAGTAACTACCATTCGCTTTTTCCCTTTAATCTTTATTTTGTAAACCATCCATTGAAACTCAAGGTTTATTCACAATTGATTATGTACATTAATTCTATTAACGTCAATAAAATATTTGCACGTGCACGTGTTTTTTGGAACGTGCAACAAATGTTGATCTTAATTTCACCGTGCGCGCGTTTTCTATTCTATAACCAGAAATTGGAGATTTCAGACTTCTATGTACTAGCATGGGGGTATAACTTTCTACCTCCATGGTACTAGGATGCGGATTGCATGATGTAGTCTACTCTTACTTATGATAACATTTACTGAACTCTTGCATAATTATCACTGATATGCTCCAACCCGATACGTGCTTCAACCATGACTTGTAAAATCAAATCAATTGTCAAAACCACCTCAAACTCTCCAGCCAAACCAAACATACACCCCCCAACCAGCGCCGCCCAATACAGTACTTCCGTCCTAGAAGTAAAAAAACAATGTACATTATGAATATATACAAAACGGTACAGCTTGAACTGAAAATAGTCTTAGCGTGACAGTTCACAAAGACTCGTCTTTTGCATGTTATCATGTTAAAAGTAGATAATAATTCACAAATACCACAGTGAATATGCTAACATTTATCTCCTAATTGTCCACGAAGCATCTGAAACTTCAAAAGATACACCTTATTCCTGGCAAGTTAGGGAATGTGTGAATATGGGGTTATATGTATAACCTTAGTGTAAGCTATGATGACCCCAAGTCATATTTACAGTGTTGGTTGGCTGTTTCAGTTTTCTTGATACTCACCCACAGAATAATCTAAACAGTAAATCAGTAACCATGAAAGTCCATCTGTGTTGGTATATAGTAATCATAGTAAAACGTTAAACTTTATTCCAACACACAATTTACAGAGAGATCAAATTTTCAGCTACCAGTGTCGCCTTCATCATGATAATTAATGACCAATCACTCACGACGTGATCTCGCGAGAGTTACGGTTACAGACCAGTTTTTTACCGTAACTCTCGCGAGATCACGTTGAGTGATTGGTCATTAATCGGTATGAAATTCAACGTTTTACTATAGTAAATCAGTGAATTACACTTACCTAAAAATATTTTACACGGTAACAAATAGTAAGAAAGACATAAGTAATAGTAGTCAACACTTCGTCTTCAATCTGTACAATAAATAATACAATCCAAAAACACGGCACGAGCGCCACCTGGCGGTTTTCATGAGTACTCGTAATCATATTCCAGCCTGTTCATTCTGGCGTTCATTTTTAATCTCAGACTTTGTCTGAGTGGTCTCGGGGCAGGGGCACTGGTGGCCTTCGGAGTGATGACGTTTTTCTTCTTCAGGAAGTAACAAACTCCCGTCGTCCCTCCGACAACCACCACAGCTGTGGCAGCGGCTCCGGCCAAGAGAGGCCCCAAGGTCGACAGGAGAAATCCTCTCTGTTCCTTTGGATCCTCATCTTTGAAAAGAAAAAGCAAAACTCGTTGAAGAGATTCATTTGTCATGTATCGATAAAGTTACTAAAGAAATTCTTCTAACAGTGACACAATTTTTGAAGGAAAGGATACTGACCTATCATTCCATCTTGTTCACGATGCAAGTCTCGGGCCTAGTCTCGTACTCTCGCGAGACTAGGCCACTCCGTGAACAAGATGGACTGATAGCCATCGAAAATTTGGAGGTCAGTATCCTTTCCTTAAAAAATTGTGTCACTGTTAGAAGAATTTCTCTAGTAAAAAGCAAAACAAAATGAACGCAGTGAAAATCGGAACTTCTGTCTTCAAAGAAGAATATTCCCGGTTATTTGACCCTATCTAGACCGGGAGGGGCTAAAAGTGCCAAATGTGATGTCACATAGCGTCTGAACGGCTAGCGCTAGAACCACCAAACTTGGTGACTTTTCGTGAAATATTGCTGGCAACAATTTGGTATCATTAGAATGAAATTCTAAGAAATGCCATGGCAACGGGTTTCTGACAGGTCAATTTTTTTCTACATTTAGTAATTTTCGTTTCAACAATAGAATTTTAAGGATTTTATGTCAAGTTACATATGGTTTCTAATATTATTAACATATCATAAAATTTTCTGTAAATTTTACTGAAACGATTGCACCAACGAAAAACCAACTTACATCTATAAATCAAAGACATGAGGCACCAAAATTTTGAGGTTGATATGGCACGTAACGTTATTACCTGCGCAGTTGACTCCGGCGAATCCGGCCGGACAGTGACAGACGTACGACTGCCAGTCAGTGGTGCAAGCTCCGCCATGAAGACAAGGGTTGTCCGGCTCACAGTGATCCACTGCGGGACAGAAAAAAACAACGTTTAAATGTCAAGTGGTCGGGACCAAACTCGTAGTTGGAAGATCCTGAATGTGTGACAGGGGTTATATGTTTACCGAAGAAAACATATTGTTTTTGCTCAGTTTCTTCCTCTTCTTCTCCAGTGACCTCTGACCTGACCAATGACATAATTTGTTGACGTCGGTCACCATGGTGACTGGTGTTGGGTTACTTGTATTTAATTATGGCTTCACCACAAAGTGGTGAAGACATATTGCGTTCCCTCATGTTTCTCCTCCTCCTCCTTCTCCTCCTGCCATTTCTTTAAATGGATTCATCTCTGCCGTTTTTGGGCCAAATAACACGAAATTTGGCATGAAGGTAGAGTGGGCAAGTACCCCGACGCGTTTTTTTCATTTTTTTGTAAAAATTGTTTTATTTGTTTTTTTTTGTCCATTTTCAGGCAAAAAATATACATTTTTGTACATTTTAAGATCTGGGGCCCTGGCACTAAAACCAAATGACCTGAAATTTGGTATGGGGATACCTTGGACACATGTCTACAAAACTTCATTCAAGCTTTCACATACACCACTTCAAAATTGTGAAAAATAGGGCTTTTTGGCTATTTTTGGACCAAAAACGTACATTTTTGGCTCCTGTGCCTTAATATTAAATCCGAATGACCTGAAATTCGGTATGGGGATACCTTGGTCACATGTCCAAAGAATGTCATTCACAATTTTGACATACACCACTTTAAATTTACGTAAATGGGGCTTTTTGGCTTTTTCCGACATTGGAAGGTTCCATTGCTGCATGGGGGTGTAGACTATTGGCAGCCATCGTGGGATCGATCCATTTCGGTATGGGGGATGTGGTGAAGCCATCGCTGCATTTGCTCTCAAGCAAATGTCGGCCTTTCTAGTTAATGTTTCAATTTCATTGTCTGCCCTGCTCCTGTCGCCATATATTAGTAGTACATGTACGAATGTGTTTGAGTAAGAATTAACAGAGCAGACCATATCCGAAGGTAAACATGATGCATTTGCTTTCCAAATGTTACTTCTCTAGTTGTAAAGTGCCTATCCAGTTCTATGCCTGAATGGTTAATATGCTTTCGTGTATTCAAGGATTTAACGTTGCCACGGGTATGGTTTTATATACCCATGGACTATCCAGAACCATGTCATAAAGCATCGTTCTGGATAAAGCATCGTTCTGGATAAAGCATCATTCTGGATAAAGCACGGTTCTGGATACACTGGGCACTCCTCTTACCTCGTTCGCAGTACAAGCCGTAATACCCCGTGACGCAGTGACATCTGTGCTCGTCATCGTTCTCCGCGGCCGTAGACCCTTCCTCTTGTAAAATCTGACAGGCTCCTCCGTTTCGGCAGGGGTTGGGGTTACAGGCATCTGTTGATCACCACATACAGTAACATTTTAACATCTATGAATATATATACGATAGTTATCTATTATGAATACCTCCAAAACGCACATCACATGCTTATTGAAAACAAAATAAATATATGGGTGAACACATATACAGTGACCTGTTTGTTCTTACATAGTTTTATATTTACTACTTTTCACAAAGGATTTGATTTAAGTAGTGTTTTTGGTTTGTACGAGTATCATTTTGTTTCTGACTCTCTCTATTTATATATATAACTATCTATATTTCTATCTCTCTCCCTTTATTTATCTATCAATCTTTCTATCCATCTATCATTTTATCTCATTCTGTATCGATCTATCAATGTATATTCATATCTTTCTCTCTTTATCTATCCATCTATCTATCTATCTATCTATCTATCTATCTATCTATCTATATATCTATCTATCTATCTTTCTATTTAATATCTATTATAGTATCTATCTTTGTGAGGGCCTGTTATGTTTTTGCACTACATTTCATTTTCTGTGTGTTCTTTGGAAAAGGATGAGCTGTGTTCACACATGTAACGTCGCCGCGTACAGGTAATAATTTCTATAACAAAAAATAATAAAAACTTGTAATGAATTTTTTACCTCGTAAGATCTCACAATGCCTCCCCAGGTGCCATGTTGTACAGTTGCAGGTGTAGCCGTCATCGTGGTTCACACAGGTCCCGCCGTTTTCACACGGGTTGGATACGCAGTAGTCCCGCACTGAGGAGGGAGAAAACAGGTCAGTGTTTTCATCATGGCATCTGCTTGGTTTTCGCTCATATGTTAAGGCTATGTTGGACTATTGATATGGATGACATGAATTATCGTCCGTTTCAAAAAAAAAGTTTTCGACCTCACTGTAAATTGTTTGGGTTTCTTTGTTTATTGTTTTGCACTCACAAAATAAAAGGAAATTTAGAAAATTTAAAGTTAAGTTGACATGCACGGGAGGGCCGGAAATCTTTGGCACTCACCGAAGTAAAATCGTACAAAGCAGCTGCAGAATGAGCAAATATACGCTATAATTAGAAAACAGTCTTAGAATACCAAAATATCAATTCCAAAGAAAATAACAGAATGTAAAGAATAGAAAATGAGGAGTTTATGATGTCCTCCAGAATGATACTGCCTACATCCATTTCCGACAGTCAACCTTTAGGATGGTTTCACGACATCTACACGTTTTGCGATACAAAAAATCTCTCACCCTGACAGGCTGGTCCGGTCCATCCCGGTGCGCATGCGCCTGGGCAGCTTCCATTGAACCGGTCGCAGGGCACGTCATGGAGACAGTGACACGTCTTCTTACAGTCGACACCAAACTTACCGGGATCACACTCTGAAATTTGGAGAAATAAAACGTTTTTGCCATGGACTAATCTCACACTTCCCATAATGCCTAGCAAAGATCACGGATATGACGTAAGAAGCGGATATACGTAATGCGACCGTGCGAGTAGGAGAAACTTCGGTAGAAGGTAGAACAATAGAAGGTACGTCATTTTCTCGAATTCCAACAAAAATGCAATTTTGGCATGCGCTTTATACTAGATAAATAATAATTATTCAAAACATCATAGTTGACCAGTTTGTCGATAGAACTTGTTGGAAATGTTACAACAAGTTGGCCACACGTCATATCCGTGATCTTTACTAGGAATTATGGGAAGTTTTCCGGCCCTATGGGGATTTCCATAGTTATGCACCCCAAGATGACTAACTTCGACTCGGTAAAGATTATAGTAGTGTGCAAAACAAAAAAAGAAGGTATAGGGCCACAACAAGTAAATTTATGGATGACATCCTCCGCAGACGCCAAATCTAATGCGATTGGACAAAAAAAAAAAACAAGGCGGGCCCCCCAAATTCTATAACTTATAATTTCTACATATTTTCTACAAACTTTCTTGTTTTTTCCAAACTCCGGAGAAATTTAATGCCCGCCTGATGTCATTCACTGAAATTACTTGCTGTGGCCTAATATAACAATGCACAATTAACTGATTCAGTAGCCAAACTAACCATGTTGACAGTACGGGCCCTTTGTCCAACCCTCCGCGCATTGATCCGGACAAGCTCCAGTGAAGCGGTTGCAGGACACACCGTTCAGGCAGTGACACGTCTCGGTGCACCCTGCGCCATATGTGCCATTTTTGCACGCTGCACGAAACAAAGTGATAACAAAATAAGGTTAAGAACGTTTTTTCCAGGAACAGAAAACGACATATCCATGAAATTCTGAAACGTTTATACTTCGCTAACGTGGGGAATTGCTGTCCCAATGCTTACGTATTTATTGCTTTCCCCTCACTGGCACATGCATATCTAGTAACACATTTTAGCCGCAATTGTCAAACCTAACTTATAACTTATTCCGAGTTTAATCATCCGACATGGCGGCCGATACGCCATAGTCACTTGAGTGCAAGAACCAAACAGATTATAACACGTCTGCATGGTTAGATGTTTGGTCAACATTGCATTAAGATTTTGTCCGTTGCATATTACATTATCCGACAATTTAGGGGTCAGAATACCTTGTTAAGGTGTGTTTTTCTTGGTCTAAAACCCAAGTAGGTAATTCTCTACAGCGTACTTCTGAAATATTTATATGTTTCATGTAATGTCCTGTCCCCTGAGCTCTATAGACTTAGTAACTGTACACACATTAGTAACTGTACACAAGGCAGTTCGCCACAAAGCACCTGCCTATATGACACATATATTCAAATGGCTGTCACCCCCAGTGCTCAGAGTTCGTACTCGCACTGCTACGAGACAGCTCTACAGATTCGACCATCACATGCTGGACACTCCTAAAGCACACGTGGAATCCTTCAAGGGCAGCCTGCAGTACCGAGGGCCTGTCCTGTGGAACTGTCTCGCTGCTGATCAACAGAAACTGACATCAACGTCAGCATTTAAAAACAGACTGTAAATACTTTGCCTATACTGTGACTGAGTTGTACATGTATATGTTGTTGTGTTCAGTTTGTAACTTTTATGAATGTATGTGCCCAGGGATTCCTGAAAATCAGATCAATGGGTCTGAGGTATGCCCTGGTAAAATGAATAAACTTGAAACTTGAAAGACTAACCTTCTGTACAGTCGAGCCCCTTGAAGCCTGTATTACAGCTGCACCCATACGGGTCCGGTAAGCAGAAGACGTAAGACCTGCATGCGTCGTCGCCGTCAATGTTGAACTCTGGTCGGTTGCACTGGTGTTGGCACGACTGCCCGAACTTTCTGGCCCCACATGCTGGAAAAAGAAATGTTTCTTTGTTTTATCTGTTTTGCACTGTGTGATAGACTGCAGCTTGGAGGTGGCCAATGCCATTGATAGAGAAGGCAATAGCTGAATTGTGGGGTCGTGCGACGTAGCGGCAGAGTGCTCGACTCGAAACCAAGAGGTCCCGGGTTCGAGTCCTGACATGCCACCGATCTTGTGCCCTTGGGAAAGGCACTTTACACGACTTTCCTCACTTTGCTCAATAAGTATTGTATTGTCCTCTGTATTGGTGTCGGTATTAATACAATTGTAAAAAAAGTTCAGTTAGCCGTCACCACGTCTTGCGATTACATGTTGGAATATAAAAAAGCTGAATCGGAGAATCCGATGGATTGAAATAAAGAAGCAGTCTGGATAAGGAAGTCGACCCAAGTTATAAACCGGAACGGCAAGCTTAAGTCAGGGATAAAAGAGACTTACGTGTTTCGCACGTCGAGCCCGAGAAGCCTATGGCACAGATGCACTCTCCGTCTTCTGGGTCACAAATGCCGCCATTGTAGCACCTGGAACAGTCCTGGCCGCAGTCAGGTCCCCACTTTCCATCCGGACAGGCTGTGTGAGACGATATAAAAACACTATGACCAAAAGGGCTAACCGTTCTATCCAACACTGAGTAAATTGGGACTTGTCCAAATTTTCGACCGACTCCGTCAGCCTTGTTCACGGGATGGACCTTTCTACTGCAGCTTCCGGGACGTAACGTCGGAAACACCTGATTGCAGCAAAGGGTCGTACGTGTCAGATAACCTGTGTCGCCCCCCGTCTCTGTTCAGTGTTGGACGGTTGGCCCGAATGTACACCACCTCCATCAATCCTCTCGCAAAGAAATCCGGTTCTGAGTCCAGAATTTTCACTTTGTCCAGTGAGACGGAATGTCCTGGAAATTCTATGCACATGTTAAGATACTTCTGAACTGGTAGAACTCGGGCATTGGTGTTCAAGAACAGTTAGCCCTATAAGATATAAAAACACATTTAGAGTTAGACTTTTTTTCCAACACAATGGATTTTTCTAACCTGGACATTTCGACCAGTCACTTTGGTCTTCTTCAATAGACTGACCCAGTGAGACTTGTCACGTGGTATCTGTAAACGATGTCGGCCCCCGTCGCGGTCAAGTGAAGCATTGTGACAAGTCTCACTGGATTATTCTTTTGAAGAAGACCAGAGTGACTGGTCGAAAGCGTTAGGCAAGAACAATCTCTTGCGTTGGAACAAATCAAATTGTTCATGTACAGGTGTCTGATGTTACGTTTAGGTACGCAGCCATACACACGCTGCAATTTAGGCCCCTTTCCCACCAGGATAAAATTATCCCGATCGATCCGAATCGCTTTGATCCGGCTTCGAGTCAGCTTCGAGCCGGATCGATCCGGATCCGGACAATTTTATCCTAGTGTGAATGAGACCTTAGTATTGAAGACGAGAGTCATTTTATTGTGCTATAAAATGACTGTACTTTATATGATAATGAGAGAAAGATTCTCTTCAATTGTATACACGATTATTTCCCTAGTTTTAGAATTTCAGAAAAGAAAACTTCAATTCACATTCCTCATGAAACTCGATAACCCTCGTACTACCCTCGATAACTACATCTGTCCTTATATTTACAACTGTCTTAAGAAGCGAGAAAAAGCTGAACCTGTATAAATGTAGTTTTTACTATATTTTAGTCTACCATCGCTATTTGCCGTAACCTGTACTTAGTTCGCAATTGAGCAAAAATGTACAATAAAGGTCTTTCATTTTTTTTTTTTAAATTAAGAGATATCCCACCTCTGACGACCAGCCTGGTGATGCCCTGTAGGGCTAGGTTCCTCTCGGTGTTGGTCCGGTAACATTCGTACACCCCGCAGGAATCGGTCGTGACCTGGTTCAGGGTCAGGTTCAAGGTGCTTCTCCCCAACATCAGGTCCTCGTTCCTCCTCCAGTACACCCCCCGGTCAACAGGCTCCTGGGACAGCATCTGGATCGTGACGTTTTCTCCCACGTTCGCCCTCTGACACATCGTGATGGGTTTGATGGGGGCTAGAGAAAAGGGGAGGGCCCATTGGGATTATATGGTGAAACCACTAGAAACAAGCACTTTAAAACACATTTACCTTTATATCAAACCTCAAGTCTTTACCCCCTCTGCAAAGCTGGATTTGTCAGGTTTCTTTTGGTACAAATAGTGGAAGCTTGACTGCTGCGTTTAAATGAGCTACAGCCCAAATATTGAAATGATACCAGGATTTCACCCCCTGTCCAAGTGGGACAGTCCATTCAACCAGGACCTATCTCGGGGTTGATAGAAAGTCATGCCAAAGGTCAAACGTTTTGGGCAGATTTGAAAAATATACATTCTTATGTCCTTCTTACCAGAACACTAGGCTTTTCTGAGCAAAATTTGTTTAGGAAAAGAAAATTATTTCAAATCTACAAAGTGGCCCTTCTCCATCAGTGCCCCAAAGTCATAGTCTTATGGGTTTAACTGACAGTAAGTACATGTAAGTACCGTGGAAAAATCCAAAGGTTATCAATCAAAGGCACCCAATGCAATTTCGGGGAGGAAATACAAACGAAAAAAGGACTCTGGACAATGGAAGCCGTCTGATATTGACATTAAATGCCATTTCCTAGAACATTTCCTTATCATTTCGTACAATATGATACATGAAGTGTTTCAAATAGCATCTAAAACAAGCTATGTGAAGCGTCTCTTTATTTTTGAGACATTGCCCATAGATAGCCAGAACTAGCCCGATACAAAAAAAGCAAACGTTTTCCTCCAGTGACATCGTATTGTTGCCTCATCACAGATACCAGCATACTATGGGATAGGATTGAGTCAACGTACAATGTTCTAAAAGAATGACCAGAAAATTAAAAATCCAATTCACGAGGTTCCCATACCCAGGATGCATTGCGAATCCCGGGGTCTAAACCTCATTTGCATAGGACAGGAAGGCATCGGAATGATCCTGTTGACGTTTAACAGCTTGTGTTACGTTTTGAGGTGTTAGGGCATTTTATGCTCAACGTTAATTGAATTACGACGGGTATGAGGTTTAGACCCCAGGATTCGCAATGCATCCTGGGATGGGAAAATCGTGAATTTTGCTGCCCTGGAATAGCTTAGAAAAATAAACTGTTCTTCAACTGAAAAGAATTTGACTTACCATATTTGGACATCTTGACGGTTAGTATTCGAAACGTTCCTCCGTCGTCCAACTGGAGCTCGGTGAAGAAAGACCCGATCCTGAAGTCCTGGGCGATCCTGACCAGTGTGAACATGGACCCGGGCCAGTACAGCTGCGGGAAGATGAACTCACGAGTGGCCCAGAGGTCGTCGTTAAACCGTTCGTAATCCAGCCCGATGTTCGTCTCCTAAAGAGGTGGCACAATTTATATTATTATGAAAAAAAATTTAAACTGTTCTCCAACTCATAAATTTTCTCTCATCTCTTCCTCAGCTATCTGACCCAAATAGACTGTAGACACGTGATTTTCCCATGTGTGACGTCAGCAAAGGTATAAAGGTTGTTTGAACTCGATATCGCCCCCCGTCCCGGTTGAGCGAAGGTTGAAGTGCCCTGATGTATATGAGTTGGAGAACAGTTTAAGTTTTTCATAATGTAATTTACCAACTCCAATGAGCTTTCATGCTAATTTGTATTATTCATTTCATCATAAAACGGCTGGGTATCCCATTCAGCTTGTAGAAGCTGCTTTCCAACGGGGCCCAGCATATATTTACACAAGACAAGACACGATTACATTTAGTCAAGCAACAAAAGGTGGACAAAAGTCAAATAAAATCCGATGGGTTAAAACAAAGGAATGTCCAAAGGAAAGTTTCACAAGACGTGTCTCAGGGCTGCTTCGAACTGTTGAAAAGTTGTTATCTGCCTTAGGCCAGAGCTAGTACATTTTATTGGACATCCTCCGCATAGTCCAAATCTAATCCGATAGGGCGAAAAATAAACAAAATGGACCAAAAACAAAGTTCCTACATTTTCAAATTTTTACATCATCAACAAGAAATGATACCAATATTGTGCTATATTTACTACCAACTATTACGGTAACAACATCCTTTTGTCACTGAAAAATAAAAGTTTTCAATCATTGTACAAATTTGATTCAGTAAACCTGACATGTAAAAGATATGAAATGTATTACTGCATCAAAGTAAAGGAAAAACAATAAATCAGAGTTATCTTTTCTAGATATTAAAATATCAACCTACCTACCTACCTAGTCCCATATCTAGAAGCACATCAAGTATCGCAGACAGTACATAGATCTGTATAACACGGTCTAGCTTCTTTATCATCATAAGGCACAAGTCCATTCCTTTTTGTGAACGTTTCTAAAGGCTTGCATTTAATGAATGACGACCTTTATTGAACATTTTTGCCACACTGGGCTAAGTACTGGTCAAAACAAGACATGATGAAAAGATATGTACAAAACTAGAAAGGCCGACATTTGCTTTGGAGCAAATACAGCGATGGCTTCACCACATTTTACGACATGGCAGGGAAAGAATGAGAAACACAAGGGAAAACAATGCTTTACATTGATATAACTATAGTATGAAGTAACATACAACTAAGACTACAACAGTTGGATAGCTATTCCCTACATTATTGGTTAGGATTTTTAATTTCATAATGCATGCAAACTGTTGATTTTCAAGAAAAAAAGAAGTGTTCATGCCCCGCATTCCAATGCTGGAGCAGGAAAGCTTAAAATACCTACCAAAACACTTGAATACAGACCTACTGTCAGTATGGAATGGCTCTGTGCAGGTGTTAATCAAGTTAAGCCTGTTAAATTCCAACAGCCAATCAGCAAGGAGAATAGAGGAAAGCTGCATGCCTATTGGTTGATGCCCTGCATTCCATTGTGATGACTCATGCCCAAATGTGGTAACACTGCACACTAACTCAGTAATACATTTGCTATAACACAGCCAAAAAACTCAAATAAAACCATTCTAAAAGCCTGTATCACAAAAATTAAAAAAACGCCTGGGGGTATTCGCCTACTGTACTTCCATACCAAATTTCAGGTCCTTAGGCCCCAAAATGAAGAAGCTGAATCCATTTAAAGAAATGGCAGGAGAAGGAGGAGGAGGAGAATCATGAGAAAAAGCAATATGGTTTCACCACTTTGTGGTGAACCCATAATAAAACTAGGTATCATTACATAAATTCAACTTCTCGCTTTTCAGTTATAGTAGAGATAAAGGAACAGATATGTTTTTCGATCGAAGGTTTGTCAAGTCGCATTAGGAGTATGAACTTTTCTACAGTGCTCAAGTGTATAAAGTAAGAAAATAGGTTTTGTACAAGCCTATACAGATAATTTCTCTCTTTACTATATAATCTACATTCAAAAACAAAGTGATATTCGTCCTCTCTCTATTTATGCAATATTGCCATTGAGACGGATTAGCTATGGTATTTTTTTCTAAATGAAGCAAAAAAAAACTGCCTACCCTTCCGAATGAAATTCTCTGGGGCGGGTGATCCGTTACGGTTTTCAAATAGGTCGGTCCAGTCAGAAAATCGATGATTGGATACTCGTTCACCAACGTGACATCCAGTTGAGCATCTGAAAAAAACACGTTTAAAGATAAAAACATCATTCATTCGAGATATACAACTATTCAAAAGCAAAACGAAGTTGAACATATACATACAATACGTTTCAGATTACTCAGGGTACGTACTAACAGTCAAAATTAAAAGCTGAAGAAAAGCTTCATACTTCACCTCAGTTGAGAATGGCTGCTTTACCTTTACGTTAAAAATTTATACTCGTATACATCTTATACTTAAGGTAGTATTTAAGCATTTTCAAACTGAATAAAGGTTTTAATAAGAAAACATTTCGGGTGTTGTTCCGTAACTCTTCATCAATGAATGTTAAAAGAAGTGAACGAATATAATTCACTGATGAAGGGTGTCGGAACAACACCCGAAAAGTTTGCAAATCAAAACCGTTATCCAGCACTCCATGGTGTTAATGTACAAGATGACGCATGGTCTAGTCCCAGTGCACCTGCAGTCACTCATCCCCTCCACTAGAGGCGAACGGAGAACGACTCGTCTACAGCTACGCAACACTACACATCTTCATGTTCCCCGCTGTAGAACGAAGGTGTACCAGTCCAGTTTTATTCCACATGCTTCTACCCTCTGGAACCGCCTTCCACAGGCACTGAAGGAAGCCAGCAGCCTAAACGACTTCAAGAGAAAGTGCAAGGATTACCTGTTCACTCCGAGACATAACCAGCCGTACAGACGTCTAGGTACTCGGTACTACAACATCTTAACTGCAAGACTAAGAATGGACTGGAGCCCACTAAATGCCACCTTGCACTTGATGAATATCAAAGACAAAATGTGCTCCTGTGGTACCTCTTCTGAGACTGTTTCCCATTATTTACTACGCTGTCCTCTTTACAGCTGCCAGCGTCACATTTTAACCTCCACAGTAGAGCAAGTCACATCACACCGTCTAACCGAATCTGTTCTACTACAGGGGCTACCAGGCTGTAACATGCACACAAACAAACAACTATTTGAGGCATTTGAAACATTTATTTCCACCACAAAACGTTTAGATGGCCCTTCCCGTGGTACCACATAAGTTAACCTTTTATAATCCTACGTTATACATGTATATATTTCCTCACATACTGTATTATATCCAATTGCCCTTGACCTCTGACCTCCAAAACATTAATTGCTATTATTATCTTGATTGAGTACTTTATTATGCTTGGTTGTATTTTATATTGATAACTGATTGATTTTAGCTTAATCTTTACTTGTTAGTTTACTGTGTTAGTACATGTATGTTATTGTGTATGTTTAATCTTTGTATTGTTTGGCGCCCGAAATCAGCTATGCTGCCTGGGTGGCCAGTGTATTGTATCGTCGCAATCGAATTAAATAAATAAAACAAATAAATAAATAAACCGTTATCCAGTTTGAAAATACTGAAATTCTATCTTACTGTTACGTACATACAATTTACAAGCATACTGCTGATGTAGTTGATATACCAGACTTATATCGCTGTTATTGTACACATAACTTTATCACCATGACCTGTACTTAGCGTGTATAAGAGTATAAATTTTTTTTACGTAAAGGTAAAACAGTCATAGTTGATAGTGCAAGGTGGCTTCTCTACAGCTAAGGTTTATAGCTAGTCAATTGAGTTTGTTGGTTAGATGCAGAGGTATTAGTACGTTGCTTGAAGTTTATATGCCTCATACATAGCATCTTACTACCATCAGGTTTTATACGTGAATCGTTGATTACTTATATTGAATATTCGAACACTCAAAAAAATCGTTCAACCATAACTAGACCAGACTTCATTATTTAGCACATTGTGTTCGAGGTTCAAATTGCTACAAAAAATAACCTAGATTCCTTCTCAGAGGACCTCATACAGGCATTAGCACACAAGTGGGACACTCTGTCTGCTTCCCTCTTCATAATTTTCACCACATCCGGACTTCTTTTACGTTCGCCAGGCTGTTAAAGTATAACATAAAACGCCAAGGCCACGTGTGAAGAACGCCAGCTGCAAATGGAGAGGTTCCTAGAATGATAGATGTCATTTTTTCGTTCCCTGTTCCACTTTACTCCAATTGTCAAGATTCGCAACTTCACGGGGGGATTTTACCACTCGTATTGCCACTCGAGAGCGGGTCTTCGAGTGTTGGGTCGACATCGGGAGGTTGGTTCGTGAATTCCAGGTGTATTGTAGAGGGAACAGGATCTAGCACGGGAGGGGGGCTGTTCAATGGTTCATTAAGTGGTAATTGATACTCTTTCATCAAAGAGAACGCCGACGTTCTGACGGCTGGAGTGGCAATGTTAGGCCCGGGTCGGAACTTCATGTCTTAGATTATGTTACATTCATGGATACTTTAGCGCTAAAAACCGAGTCGATTTTAGACTAATAGATCAAGTTGGCGTCTGTAGTGACAGACCTTATAGTTCGCCCACGCGTAGAAGAATGCAGACGCTGCCCACAACAAGGTCTCTTAGACCGACAACGAGGATTATGGGGATTATGGCGCTGTTCATTATTCTAGGTCACGTGGTTCAGATTATGTTCTAGAAGAGTCTAAGAGTAGGGCTGGGGTCAAATGTGCATTTTTTGTCGCCATTATTACTAGGTGGCCTTTTTGGGTGTTCAACTACCATGTAAAGTTACCACAAAAGCGTTTAAACACGCGTTAAAAATCGATATTTTAAGAAAAATAACGTTGTTTTCGACCACACGAGCAATTCAACTTCAACACTCGATTCCCTTCATGGCGGTAAACATCCGGGTACTACTTGGTTCACAACATGGCGGCTGCCAATTTTTAAGGCGCATGCGTATTGGCCAGAACTATTTTTCAGAGCGAGGGTGCGCAATCAAACTACACTGTATGTGAAGATATCAATAATGAGAAGTTTATTGCAAATTCACTGCCCGGAGGCTAATTGCAAATTACAAACATAAGAGAACAATGAAACAGAGTAAATGAAATAACTAAAATCTACATGATAAAAGGTAGTTGTCTAGAGCTAGAGCTATGTCTAAAACTATGTCTAAGGGGTTTGACTTCTCTTTTTTAGAGCATGGAAGACGTAATGTCCCACTTTTTCCACACAAAAATTTGGGAAGTTAAAAGAAGAATAGTTTTTTCTTTGTCTGTAAGTTTAGTAAAATTGGGATAAATTGTAGAAGTTTGAATAGTCAATTCATTTCGAGCGTTGTTATGAAAGGAACAATTTGAGATAAAGTGTATTTCGTCTTCCACAGCCTTTGCACTACAATATTTAAAAAAGAACCTAAAGCTGTCACAGGTAGCAGCCACCTTTGAAAAAAATTATCACTCACATTACATAACTAACTGTAAAGTTTCTAGTTTTGCAAATTTCAGCGCTTTCTGTAACCGTTTTAGTTTGTAAACAACATAGAAGTTAAGAAAATATTACGATTTATAGTGCATTAATTTATAATGCTTAGTTTTCTTCACTATCAATAATACAGGCAATGACATCTTACCTTCAGATGTACTAGTATAATTTCTGCATTAAGCCCATGTAGGTGATAAAACATGCAACGATCATCATGTGGACGTCAAGTATCTTGGCTACCCTCACACCGGGTTGATGTACATGGCAGAAACCTCAGAAATTCGCATGACATAAGCCAGTTTAGGTGCAGAACGTCCCGTTTCTTGAACACTACTCTGCCGTATTGTGTTAAGTTATTGAACGATGAAAAATGATCCACTTCATATCATGTACGTTTACAATCCTTGCATATTACAACTTTAGATTATCTCGGTAATTTTTACTTAAAGGAAACATTGAATCAATTGGTTTTATACTGCATTATTGTACTTTTAACGTGTAGTAATGTTTAATGTAAACTTGATATGCAACGAATAGGTCTTTATCAAATGTAACGAACTTTTATCAAATAGCTGTACTATAAGCGCATTTTGTGTTTTAAAGCCTTCTCATTCTCAATTCAGCCAAATATGGCTGCTTACAGGCTTTTGTGTGTACATGTATGGTAGTATAAACCAGTCTCTCTTAAGTAAGCAAACTCTTGGCTATTGTCTTGAACAGTGTCTAAGATAATCATGGCTTAATCTATCATGAGCGGACGGAGTCACTTAAGTACAAGGATAAAGTCGGTATCAGCATTCAGTGCATACCATACCTGATAATCTATTGCCCTGTGGTTAGTTTTATAATGTACTGTTTTTTAGTGAGTCAAAGGATAACAAAGTTGTTTATACACATCTATGGGGTACCTCATTACTACACAAAATCCATTATTTTAACACAGGTTAAACAACGCGTATCTATATGTTTATTATCTTTCCTTATATGTGCCTTTACGTAGCAATAATATTTTGCAGTTTATCTGCAAACTGATCGCAATAAAAATAATACATTTAAGTAAGAAACGTAAAGAAACGAAAACTTGATCAAAAGAATGAATTTTGTGTAGTGACAACTGAAAACAATAAAATCATATGTAAATATTCTGCATGAATTAAACGACTTAAACCAATCGAAGTAGGCGAAATGGTCATAACGTGCAAAATGTATTGCCCCATTCTTATCTAGTTGTCGCTAAAAATATTAACAAGTGTGTTCCGAAAACACGCACTGGTCCGTATGAATATTTTCGAAAGGGGATATTCATTATCATTTTATTTGTTGTCAATACCTTAAAATATAGGATAAAGATAGTTTACTATGTATATGCACATGTACATTAGTATGGCAGCACAACAATTTAATGTATCAAATGACATTCATTATCTATGAGATACATGTAGAATCTGCTTATTAATATTCTAATTATCAACAGCAAGCGTGAACGGGACAAATATAGCGGAAGACCTGGGTGTTTTTCCTGAATGTTCTGCATGCAATTATTCATTATTTTATTTCTTATTTATTTTTTTAAATAATTTCCAACATGTAATCACCAGACGTGGTGACAGCACACTCAAGTTTTTCAAACTTATATTAATGCCGCCACCAACACGGGGACAATACAATACTCATTTCACCTGAGCGAAGTGAGGAAAGTCGTGCAAAGTGCCTTTCCCAAGGGCACAAGATCGGTGGCATGTCAGGACTCGAACCCAGGACCTCTAGGTTCAGAGTCGAGCACTCTGCCGCTACGCAACACGCCACATTATTTTAGATCATTTTACAAAATGTATAACTGCTCACCACTTGAAATAGCCCGACAAAATGGCGCGTGTAGACATACTTGTACTTTATTGATGGTTCCAAACCGATGCATTTTCTACCAATTTTTAAAACGCTTACTGTGATAGAAGAAAAATATCACGCTCTACATTATTGAGAAATAATTTTTATGTTGTGGCTAAGATATATTTTGATTGTAGAAAAGACAGTTGCAACTTGGAAAGAGGAGTGATTCACATGTATTTAGTCACCGGATGGACGTGCTTGACTGTCGGCACGCAGAAGAAAAATGCCATCAATAGGACCACTTACTATGTCGAACTTTCGTCAGAATCAGAACCTAAACGTCCAGTGTTGCTCTAGTAATTCACGCCGGTGCAGCGTATAATGTATTTCGCCATATTGTCCTTGTTGTCAGCAATGTGCTGCCAAATGTTGGCGTTAAAAACCAAACAGCACTGAGAAACGGTTCTGTGCTGCCGGAAGTGGCCATGTTCGACATAACAGCACGGTCCAGTGCGTTAAAGAACAAGTCGCACAACAAAGAAGACCAAAAGCGTTTGAAAACGTACCTGAAGTGTGTTGTGTGGCCAGTCCACAGATGATAAGTAACAGTAATCTCCACCTTTTCGCCATCTTTGCTGTGTACAACCGTCTACATCTGCTGCAAAACTGCGAAAACACCGCGGTAGTCGCCATGTTCTGGTGGCGGGGACTGTACAGTCTGTCTTTTTGAGCTGAGAGCGCGCGTTACGGTCGGTGCACACACGATGGCGCGTGAGCATCTATACAAACGTTTTTCAAGTCAGCTCTTCAGTTGGCGGCCGACAATGGCGTGGGGGTATGACTCGCTAGTGGTAGTGGAAACGATCACTTCATGAGTAACTCCTGACTAAGACCAGTTGTAGTGCCAGAACACTCAGTGTCTTTAAGACCACCTTTCTTCACTCAGCAGTTAATATGATTTCTTTGTTTAATTTTCCATTTTGCCTTTAGACATTGATATGCAAATTCAGTTTCATTATCATTTATATCATTTGTCATATTTATTTAGTATGTTTTCTGTTCTTTACTAGTCTGTTTTCGTTTCTTTTATCAAACTACCTTTTGATTGTACTTACGTTACCTTTGATTAAGTTATGTATGACACAGGGAGCTTTGCATAGCGCCAAAATGGCGATATGCTAACCTGTATAAATAAATAAAAAATAAAATGATATTGTAAGAGCTGCAACTCACCGGTTAGGACTAGTCTGGTCAGCTTGAAAGAAAAAAGGTCTAGTAGGAAATCGGATACATCACTAAAGGCCGAACAGAGAGAGTAGGTCTCTAGGTAGCTTCTACCTATCCTGTTGTGCAGTCTACCCCGGTAAGAGCGTGCTCTCTTCGGGTTTGTTGTAGTAGTTCCCCGTCGCTCAGCTCAACTAGCCTTTTACACGACCAAGTAGACGGAATAGCATGCCAGATGAGTTAGCTGGCAAGAGCAGTAAAATGGCCAGGTTGTACGGTTCTAGCTTGCTAACTCTGATAAACTACATGTATATCAGTCTATTTGGCCTATTGCTACTATTTTTCCAGCAACATGGGGAGCCCTGTTCATGCTAAGCAATTCCACCCTTGTGACAACTGAATGGGTGGTGCAGCATTATACTTTATCGTATTCAGTACCGTGATCATTTACAATGTAGTTCTGAATGGGTTAGGGTTAGCAACAGGATAGTGTGCAACAAGGTATTCAACATTTCTTGGATGCAGGAAAATTTACATTAATACTGGAGGAACGGAAAAAAAAGATAGTGAGAGTTCGTGATAATAATATATTTTATGATATTATAAATACATCTTTTCAGCATAGTGGTCATGAGTTCGATCCTGCATTTGGCATTCCTAGCTAGGCGTTGCGCCCTTGGTCGAGACACATTGAATGACATTCCTAACTCCGCCCAGGTTTTAAATACACTTCCTTTAAGGGACGTAAAAGGTGGTGAAAGAAGAAGGATGGGCTCTACCTTCCAATATCGTGCCCTAAGCACAGTGGAAACCCGATATAGATTCGCAACCAGCTCACTGCCCCTATGGCCTAAAAAGGATATGGGGCACCTGTATACATGTGGCCCCATTACATGTAGTTCCTGACCTAGAGGTCACTCGATGATGATGATGAAAAAAGGTACTACAAAAACCATTTTAAAAAAAGGAAGAGCCGAATTCGAAGCGGCCTAGGCCAGGTTATACCAACTAGACTGTTGAAATTGATCTCTATTGATTAAAGACATTGCACCATATGGCTCATGAAAACACGTTCTTTTGAGAAGCCACCAAATGCTTACGTAGACAACCTGAAATCGTATGTTATCACAATCATTTGCGATTGTTTGCTTCTGGAAAGAACGTTATGCAAGAGCAGTGATATCAGGTTCTGAATCGGCGGCCATGGTTACCGTGACCTCACGGGCAACATTTGATGATCATTAATGATTATATATTAAAATAACTGGCTTCAGAAACCAAGATTCGATATTAAAATAACTGGCTTCAGAAACCAAGATTCGATATTAAAATAACTGGCTTCAGAAACCAAGATTCGATATTAAAATAACTGGCTTCAGAAACCAAGATTCGATATTAAAATAACTGGCTTCAGAAACCAAGATTCGATATTAAAATAACTGGCTTCAGAAACCAAGATTCGATATTAAAATAACTGGCTTCAGAAACCAAGATTCGATAGTCTCTAACACCAGTACAGTTATGTTTTGTCCAAACGTCTTTCATTGAGACGTCTTTATTCACTGAAAAATAGCTATCGATCACGACTGGCTTACTTAGCTATATTAACCAACTGTAAGTTGTATTTCACTGCTATAAACTTTACTGGTTATCATTCCATGAATATTGGGCCCCATCACACCCTATTGATTGCTACAAGAGATTTACTTGTAAATGGCCAATATTGTAAATTTGGGGGGGGGGAGAGGAGAAAGAACATTTGGCTTGCGGATACAAAATAAAAGATTATTCATCTATCAAGTTAAACGTAATGTAGAGCTGTGTCCTTTTTCTTTAAAAATTCTCTACATCCGTGATGTAATTGATACAAATTACGTTGAACTTGAACAAACGCGTTTGAAGAGGACTTAGGTCGCAGCTTTTGCAATTGATTTAACGGTATAGCGTTGAAAGTGATTTTACCACCACAGACCAAACAACATGCCTTAATCCCTTGTTGAGACAGTTAAAAATGGTTGCACGGTCCAGTTGCGCAGCCTCTAAGCATCTGTAAAATCCTCCAGGTCAATGTCCTACTAGAATACCATGCTCCAGTTTCGCCTTCAATAGAGATGATCTTCATTAAGCTGATTCCGGTAGATGGATTGAATATCAAAGCTAATATCAGTTTTAATGTTTCATCCGGAGAGGTAGTAGAACAACTCTTTGCCTTCTAAATTTACCCACTACCAACTGACTCGACAATAGCTTGGACTGTGCTGACGTCACTATGACGCACATATATCCATAGCGATGGCAGTTGAGTACTTTCAAGGACTCGTTCTTTTTGTCGAGGACCCGTCTCAAAGTTACCGTTTAATCATTCGTATTTAACGCATGGCTACAAAATCAAGGTTAGCTTGACTCAGATGTAATTTTGAACTGAAGATTAGATTCAGATTTTATTGAATATCGACTGGCATGACACATTAAGTGTATGATATATGTCGAGTATTTACAACTTGTACCCAATTATTACAATAGATAGCATAAAATGTCACATACATCCGCATAATTAGCGATAAAATACATCATAAAAACGTATCACACCAATGAGTGTGCAACCGGTCAGTCGTTTGTAGTGAAAAATAAAACGTTTTCGGGACTAAAAGGACATGTGTCATCTTGATGATCGATTGTGACTGGTAGGTCACTGACCTTGTTCTCAATTTGACCTTCAGCAGCGTGAATAAGGCAGAGCGGACATTGGACAATAAGAGCCAATATATAGACGGTAACTGTACAACTGCCCAACATGATTAGCAGATCAACCAATGAGAGAATGATGGCAATTATCGGTGTAACCAATGAGAGAGTGCCTGCATGTCCGTCAAATATTTTTATGTTTACCAAAGGAAAACATATTGTTTTTGCTCTGTTTCTTTTTTTTTTCTTCTTCTTCTCCAAACAAATCAGGTCATTGGCCTGAACCAGACGTCTGTCACCATGGTAACTGGTGTTGGGTTACATCATATGTTGCAATTTTGTAGCAGGAGGAATTTAGTCCATGCATATGAATGTGTAACGTTTAAGAATTAACAGAGCAGACCATATGCGAATGTTACGGTTCAAGTCATTTTTAGGTCTTCATTTTGCGTTTTGAGGGAGGTGAACGGGGCTATATCAGATCGGTCTATACCATTACAAGTGACTGTTAAAATGCCTACTAGACGTTCTAACCTAGACGATGGCACTGAAAGCGACTGAACACTCACAGACAAAAGAACTTTTCTAATCCCTTGTTGAGACGGTTGAAATGGTGGTACTTTTAGGCATGGAGTTAATTTTCTACCTCCATGGTTTGGGCAAGTACACTCGGGGTTTGAACATTGTAAACCTATATCATAGAGTTTTATAGCCTAGTGTCAGCCTTGTTAGCTTAGTCCGCTCCCCAAGATCCGCTCCCCGCCAAAAGGAGCGGATCTTGGGGAGCAGACTAAAGTTAACAAGGCTGGACACTAGGCTAAGAGTTTTAAGGTGGTACAGATGTATATAATGGTGCCTGAGGACTTTGGGGACATCTTAAAAATACTAGTTAGAATTACTTTTGAATTTTTTCATAGAAGTACCTTATTGCAAGACAATAATTTATGCAAATTTTTATGACGTTCTTCAAGGGGCATAATGTTACATTTTTGCACCACAAAATTGAAATATTTTATTTTTAACAAATACTCGTTCGATCTTAATTTACTTCCACGTTTTAATATATTTGTGCAATTATCTCAGATTTTTGACACTTACATGGTTACCATTAAAACAGCCCATATAAGGCACACGGAGTTTATGGTGGATAATTATAAAGAAACCCATGACATGTGTGGTTTTTAATGAAACTTAATTTTACATTAAAAACATTCGCAAGGCGTCCCATTGTGACACATCCTGGCACTTTATTGCAATCGAATATCACTTATTCAACATGCTTTGAAATGACCAGAAAAGTGATCTTTTGTATGATAATATTACATAATACAGCTTTAAGTCCAGTAATAAGATATCAAACATATCATCATATTTAGTAAAAACACCCAGCTAGTAATTTTTTTAATGCTTAAATGGAATGATTATGATGGTTACAGGTTTTAAAAAGATTTTATATGCCACAAAAAAGTTGAAATTAACGAGTTTGTGAATTAAAAGCAGTAAAAACATTACATTTACTAATCAAGATGGTGTAATTTCTAAATATGCATGATTTTATATGCAAATGCTCAATATGTAAGTTTTTGTTCTACAGCAAACAAGTGTTATGCTAACCATTGCATTTTGTGCAAGTAAACATTATCTAATGTATCTTATACTGCAATAATATTTTCTATATGAATAAAGTGTACTATACATGTGTTCAATATATATATATATATATATTTACTTATAAACAGTGCTTTTAGAAAGCTGTAAATTTTGCTATAAAATGTGCTTTAAAACATAATTTCTATACAACAAATATTGTCATATAATGTATTTTACATAATATTATAATATTATATAACATGTGCAATGTTAAAATTGTGACCTAAGATAGAATTATATATGCAAGCAATAATTAAAACAATATAAGTATTTAAAGAATTTAGTACATTAAATGAAAATGTATGCATCTTCTATAATATCAAAGTGTTTCAAAAAGGATTGTTGGATGATCCTTACACATTGAACAAACTGATCTTTACGGGAGCCATTCAGTGTGGTTACCTCTGTCAGTACTGTATGCAGAAACTTTTGTGGTACTTTTATTTTTAATTTGCAATTTTAGTGCCAAATCATTAGCCTGGGTGCCATCCCCAGTAGTATATTCGCCAGCTCTATAACTGGTTATAGAGCTGGCGAATATACTACTGGGGATGGCACCCAGGCTACCAAATCATAGCACTGCAAATAGTAATTAAGTTCTATTATTCAAAACCGTAAATATTGCTTAACACAAGGTAATGATTCAAATACTGTCATCTTTATCATGACAGTAATCAAAGCTAACGCCATTACTATGATTGGTTTACTGTGCACTAGTGTTGCTAACATGCTGGTGTTGTGAACCAGTAAAACCTAGCTCCAGTGAACAATACACCAGTCATGTTAGCCTTCATGAAAATGACAGACAGCCATCAAAACATCAGCTAGTGTTAAACAAACAGTTGTGAATAAAAGAAGTTTACTATTCAATCACTCAGCAACCTGATGAAATAATCTATGGAACGCAAATATGTGTAGCACATGTCAAGCACTTAAAACGAAAACCTCTTTTTCCCTCCTACCACCAAATAAGCTACAGTAACTAACCATAAATGCTTAATAATGCATTTACGGTATCCCGGCATGTTGTTATGAATGACATTTAGTCAGCTGTGTTTTTGGCCTTGACCTTCATCCACATTCCGTCCTTGGTCTTCATGACGGTGGGGATGTCCTTCTCCACTGGGCGGGTTGGGTCAAGTTCAAAGGTAAATCTGAAACAAAACAAGAAATGCTTTTAAAAAAAGGCTGGACAGGGGCCACAATGGGAATAGCTTGTTGAGTAGCCTCATGAGTGTGACAATGACAATGTGCGTCTCAAATACTATAGTAATTGCAAGTTCGTCAAAAAAAATGCTAGGGTCGGCAGGTCCATAGAAAAAACGGAAACGTATTTTTTTTTTCCTCAGGGCTTATTGAATTATGTTGATCACTTGTCTTATCATGCATGATTTTAACTACATGGTCTTATGAAGCAGATGTGAATGAATGAATGAATGAATGAATGAATGAATGAATGAATGAATGAATGAATGAATGAATGAATGAATGAATGAATGAATGAATGAATGAATGAATGAATGAATGAATGAATGAATGAATGAATGAATGAATGAATGAATCTTTTCTTTACTGTATCATTCAACCAGCAGACAATCATACATTTTGTATGAGTCTGAATTTTCTTGATATTTATAAAGTATAGCTCTGTACATTTTAAATTTATATATACCTGGTATTACCAGGTCATAAAATGTATCGTAATTAAATTCCTTTTCTCATAAAAACATTCAGTTTAGAGGATATAAGTTATAACGTCTCGTCTCTTGAAATAACTTACTGTCAAGATTTGTGCAGCACTAGGAGAAAAGTTGTGGAAAATTCTATTTTTTTAAATTTATATGTATACTGCTGCTTTAATTCAATAGTAATGGACACTGTGAACACTTACTTGTGGAGAAGACGAGCCAGTAGCACCTTCTCTTCATTCATGGCAAATGCCTGTCCAATGCAGTTCCTGTTCCGGGAACAAACAAGAAATCAGATGTATCAGACTTAACGTTACAGGAATTTTTTTAGGTTTTGGAGAATGTATAATATTGTATATAATATATATTCATCAATTTTACATCACTGAATGCATTATTACTTAATACCTTTACACCATGGTTTATGCTTCATCATGATTTACATTGTACATACCTTGGTCCAGCAGAAAACGGTATGAAAGCATGAGAGTCCATTCCCTTCATACGGTCAGGGTGGAAACGACTCGGGTCAAACTCCTGTGGCAATTAAAACATTCAAGACTTGTTTTCGGTACATGTATCCGTGAATGTATTGGAACAGAATTGTATGATCTTGGGGAAATATTTAATTGAATTATATCATAAAATGGAATATGGTTGTATGTCGATGTTTCTCACTCCGGTATCACTCGATGGTTTATGTTTAATCTTGGGACACAAAGAATCAGCCATCATCATGTTTAATATGACATAGTTTACAAACTTTTGATCCAACACAAAGAAATTGTCTCACCTAGAGCTTTTGACCGGTTCAGCCAGCTCAGAAGTTTCAAAACACATTTACATCGAGTCACCTGGACATTCTCTTTCACAGTACACTGTAGGAATATTGGACACCAAACAAGACTACTCTTCCTGAGAGGGGTGAAAGAGGCTATTTACATCAGGGCCCACCACCCTTCACCTAACCGCGACAGGGGCCGACATGTTTTACCAGATACCTCTGACCCAGTGTTGATGTCACTTTAAAGAAGCCATGTGACAAGCCTCTCTGGGTCAATCTACTAAGGAAGACAAAATGGTCAAAAGCTCTAGGAATTTATTTGTGTTGGATCAAAAGTTTAAACTTTACACAATGTAACTACCAAATACAGATGAGGCCACACCAATTTAATTTCTTGGTTAACGGATTTTTCTAGAATAATAATGGAGAGGGCGGGCGAAAAAAAAAAAAGGCCTAGGCATCCTATTATGGCCCAAAATGGTACGATAGGAGCCATGAAGTCAACACACCTGACTGGTTCAAAATTTAAACAATGAATTTTGAACTTTTAATGATACCACTGTAATGAAAGATGGAATAACTGTAACAACTAGGAAGAAAAGAACTGTTTTCAACTGTTCAGGGCAAAATATGAGCATTTTGCAGTCGACTCTGAATTTTTATTTCTATTTTCAAATCAGAAAAAAACGAAGCGGGCCAATCCGTTAACCAAGAAATTAAATTGGTGTGGCCTGAAGTTTCATTAAAAATATACCATATGATCAGGTCCCCAGACTTCAGGGTTGTGGTGCAGTCCGTACAGGTGAATGGCTACGTAAGTGTCCTTCGGGATGGGGACGTCGTTGATGACCGTGTCCTCGGTGGTGGTGCGGGAGATGAGAGGAACGATCGTGTGGAGCCGGATGGACTCCTTCATACACATGGTCAGGTACGTCAGTTTGTTAAGGTCCTCCCTGTAATTCAGCAGGTGTTAATAAATGAAAGACCTTTATTGTAGCCTCCTTCGCAGTCTTGTTAGGCATCGGGGTTATTTTTTTCTGTGAGCGACGCGAGTAATATGCCGCCGCGAGGAACGATTTGCTGCCGAAGGAGCTTTTGCCGCGGAGAGAAGGATCGCGATAACGCCGATGCCCAACAAGACTGTGAAGGAGGCTACTTTATTGTACATTTTTGCTCACTGCGAACTAAGTACAGGTCACGGCAAATAGCGATAGTAGACTAAAATATATCTCTAGTAAAACGTACAGGTTCAGCTTCTTCTCGCTTCTTAAGACAGTTGTAAAAAGAACATATGGAGCTATAGTACAAGGACTACTAGTATATTATATAGTAGAGTATTTTAGACTTACAATAATTTTACACAATTTATATATCTTTATCAGGTCTTTTGGTTAGTGTCAGTCATTGAGTTATGTTATGTTGACCTACATGTACATACAGATTCACACCACAGTTGCTATACAAGACCCAAGCCGAAAATATACCCTTCTGACGAAGACAATTATGCTATATTACTTAGTATGTACCATAAACCACATGTACAATATTGTTAATTGATGGATCATAAGCCTAATGTGGTACTTGTTAGCCTTGTTATATTGTGTATGACTTTATTTGTGTATCTTCCGGCACCCAATATCAGCCATGCTGCCTGGGTGGCCAACGTATTGCCTCGCTGCAATTGAAAAAATAAAATAAAAATAAAGTATGTACCATTCAATCATGCTGCCATCCCTCCCAGACAGAACTTCCTCCACCTCCTCCTGTACCTTCTGCTGGTGATCAGGGTGTTGAGCCAGGGAGTACAGGGTCCAGCACAGGGTACTGGACGTGGTGTCGTGTCCTGGGGATAGAACATGAGGCGGTTTTGGCAAGGGTTTACACGTGCGTCGTTTATATGTGTCAGGCATGGAACGTCGCGCATGTGGCGCTGCACTGCATGTTTTGTGTGACAGATATTTTTAGCGTGTAAACAACCTCTGCCACAGACGCGCGGCGCTGTGCACGTGTAAACCGGGCCTTCAGTTGCAAGTTTGTGTAAACCAGCACTTCAGCAGAACAATACTCATATATGCCTGCACAATGAGTGTATGCATATATTAAGCACTCTGTCTTTAGTTTTCAAATGTTACATAGTACATACATACATACAATCCAGTGCTGGCAATGTTGTGCTGGAAAATTATGAGAAGCAGCGTTGACCAAACATCCAACAACAAGAGTTCCGAGATCTCATACCTCCATGAAATATGGGCTTGACATGTAAATGTTGATTTCTTCTTTAATTATGCAAATTACCTCCATATTAACATAATAAATGCATCGTGATGTTAACTTTTGATTAACTTACACATGTACCAAGTATGAAATTCCCATCATTTACCACTAAGGAGTCATAGAATTTTCGCATTAATTATGCAAATTAGGTCATCATTTGCATAATTGGTATCTGGTGATGTTCCATCTGCCATAGATTACATACTAGTACATTACATGTATGAAAGTACTATAATGCAAAACACTGTAATTATAGAATTTCCTCATTAATTATGCAAATTAAGTCCTCATTTGCATAATTTGCAGTTAATTATGTACATCTCTCTCTCAGCTACCTACATACCAAAAATGATGAAAATACATTGTTTCTATCTGGACTTATTGGCTTTTAAAGATTTCGCCCGAAAGTCCCCTGCAGTTCCAGAACAAGCTGCTAGGGGGACCAAACCCACACCACTTATTCCTGACAGGACAATCTATCTGCCACCAAAAAATCAAGACCATAGCATATTCAGGACAAAAGATACAAAAACCCGAAGTTCAGTACCAAGGTCATCCACCAGGAGGCGTATATTTGACCTTGACCTTCGTCTTCCTAAGACCTATCAGCATACCAAATATCATCACAATCCATAAAGGCGTTATGAAGTTATGCTGGCCGCAAATGTGCGGAGACACAAACACACAGACAGACAGACAGACAGACGCAACAAAAACAATACCTTCATTTTTATGGAGGTAATAGCACAGGTTGTTTGTTTTCAAACACACAGCCATACAGTGGCACTGCCACATTTGCCCTGAAATAGGTCACCAATTCCCCTGAGGGAGCGCGCTGCCTGGCTGGGCATAGCCACATCTGTTACCCTGCCTCGCAAGTATAAAGGAGATTCCTCTCAGCCATGTCCTGACTCAACCTTAAACCGGAAGTGCTGCTGCAGTACCAAGGCCATCCACCAGGAGGCCCATATTTGACCTTGACCTTCGCCCTCCTAAGACCTACCAGCATACCAAATATCACCACAATCCATGAAGGCGTTATGGAGTTATGAAGGTTCAAAAATGCGGAAACACAAACACACACATACTCTGATGTCCCGATTAAACGTACCGGTACGTTTATTTTTTTCGGCCCGAACGTCCACCCGGTACACTCTTATTAGGGACGGTACGTTTATTAATTTTTGGGAAAAAATTGTCCATACGTACCGCACCATCAGCAAGTGGCCGGCGGCCGCAAAATTCGGCAACACGTCACAGATAAATATTTGGTCCATGATAGCGGCATTTCCCATGAATATAATGTATATTATTTATTTTTCGCCTGCTGTCCATTTTTAAGTCCCAAAACGTCTGAAAAAGCAAAAATTTGCCCACAACACCGAAGGGGAAGGCGAGTAGCTAATCGCACATGGCGGCCGCAAGTCCTTGTCAAAATCGGCAACGCGGCAGAAAAATGCCTGGTCCATTTTAGCGATATTTACCATGAAAAAAACGTATGTGGTTTATTTTCCCTCTGGTGTTAGTTTTTAGGTCCCGAAACCCCTAAAAAAGTAGAAATTTGGCCACAAGACGGACGGCCGACGTGGGGAGGGCGCCTAGCGCCTGAGCAGCATGACCCGTAAAAAGTCAAAGGTCATAGGGCACCCATATTGCGCAATCACCGTAAAAGCGCCGATTTAGCTAATTTTAGGGCGTTTAAAATTGATACAATCACATTATCGATTTTTAAAAAAACAATGAGATGGAAACCAATCAAAATTTTATGCTGAATAATATTTTTTTTCTTCAAAAGTTTTTTTCTTCAGAAGTTTTTCTTCTTCAGAATCCAGACTTTGACCAGACTAGACAATGTACTACCATACCAAATAATCATTATGTTAAAATGGATTTTGTTGTACATATACTCATTAAACCCCTATATTTGTACTTAATTGGGCTTGATTTTCTATCTCTTAAGTTAGTCAGATTTTCAACTCAAGTTGCAGTAGAAGGCTTAGCAAAGTGCATTTCAGAAGTGTAAAATGCAATAGCTTCTCCTACGGATTTTGTATTTCCCCCAAAAACAAGTACAATATATATATACTCATTAATTAAAGTTATATATACTCACTAATTAAATGTAACAGTGAAAGATTTGCCCATATATTGGTATTGAAATAAAGAGCACATTTTAGTACCATTCACCTGTCAATTTGGTCATTTTCCGGGGGGTACGTTTATTCCGGAGGGTATGTTTATTAGACTTTGAAGATTTGTCCGGGGGGTATGTTTATTCCGGGGGGTATGTTTATTAGGGACATG